AAAGTAGAAAATATCTTGGGTCATCCAAATTCTCCAAATTCTTTGAATGTTAGGACAAGTTTTCTCACTTACCTTGAGGCTACCAGAGGATTCACTCTCCTCTCCTGGTCTTTACTGGTCCTTATAAGACTACTTACAGGCTTCCAAATCCACTTTATCTCTCATTTATAAAGAAGGATTAAAAGTACCACCTTCATTGAAGGTCAATTCAACCAGAACCTTGGCAGTATCTTGGGCAGAAAAATCAGTTGGTGGAGCAAATCTTTTTATCTCAACTAAGGATGAGGGTGGTAATAAAGGCTTTTTAACAGTTTTGTATGTGTTTCCTTTAGAGGGAGGAACTAATCCGGTTGCAGTCCTGGAAGATTCTTATAAATACATTACTGGTAAGTGTAACTGGGAATTTTTCAGTGTAGTATAAAGACCACATGCTGCCAGTGTATACAGGCCAGTGGAGTGAAAGTTACAGTTCAGTCTAGTGTGTGTAAATTGCACTTTTACAGCTGAAGGCCTTTTATTGTTGAATTTGATGGAGGCTATGGTGCTTATGCATACCTCCCACCTTTCTGGGATGAGAAATGGACACCTTTTTAGCCTTGCCTCCCATTAGACCATGAAGAATCTTTACACAAAAGATGATTGGTTACATTTTCATGCTATTTCTTCTTTAAGGACATTTTGAAACTGAACTCAAACCTAACCTTTTTTTTTTTTTCTTATGCTTGTAGCAAGTCCTCACCTGTGTTAAAAACAGGTAAACCGGTTACTCTCCAAAACTTCCCACAATATAACCCTTTGAAAGAACTCATCCCCAGCATCCCTTTAAACATGTATGTCTCAATGTTCTAGAGAGCTCTCCACAGTAATTTTAGAGTCATTGATCCTGAATGCCTTTTATGTCATGACCAGCTGAAAGAAAAGTATAAATGTGATCTTCCCTTGTATAGCTTGGCCTCCTTCACCACCCTTTGTGAGTAGTAAAACAACTGCAGGCCAGTAAGCGAGTTATGTATCCCATTTGGGTGCCATTTTGTTCTTTCCTTGACCTGATAACACAGCTGTTGAAGATTGTACAGATCGAGGATGCTTGGCTTTGTCCCTGCTGGAACTCTTGGGGTTCAACTTGACCTTTGCCTTCATAGCCACACTCTTTGTCCTCATACAGGTAATGACTGGCATGAAGTGAATTATTGCTGGTATGTTAAAATGTGAAGCTTTTCCTGTGTTTTCCTTTAGTTATCCAATCACCTCCTGAAATTTTTCATAGATTAAAGATGGGGATGGCGGTACCTGCAAAGTTCAGGGTTATATTCTAGTACTTTGAAATAGGCCATCTTATTGCCTATGCCCGACTATGCAGACGAAATGCAAACCATTTGAACTTCATATTATTATACAGGATTTATATAGCGCCAACAGTTTGCGCAGCACTTTACAATATAAGGGAGACAGTACAATTACAATACATTTCAGTACAGAACTTCATATGACATAGATAACCATTATTGTATTTTTGCTAATCAGCCTGTGAACTCTCACAAACCTGTAACAAACCTCTTCGAGTGAGTATTGTAGTTTTAGAACAGTCTGCCTTGAGGGCCGTATCTTAGGATTGCAAAAAAAAAAAGGCTTATTTTTTTAATAGGGTTCTGCTTTATAGAGTTAAAGTTTTTATCTTTTCTAAAAAGGTGTATTTTTTATTTATATACTTGCATAGCCTGTAGCAGCAGGATCTGGGATTCCTGAGATTAAATGTTACCTGAATGGAGTAAAGGTCCCAGGCGTGGTCCGTCTCAGAACGCTCGTCTGCAAGGCTTTGGGGGTTTTGTTTGGTGTTTCTGGAGGTAAGGACAGCACCACCCAAAGGTATACTGCACAAGAAAACCATTTTCTGGAGTTTAGCTTTAACATAAGTTTGAGTTCTGTCCACAAATAGAAATCCTGCATTGGATTGGATTGTAATTTTCTTTTGAGTACCAGTGAAATGATTTCTTATATACCCTTTAAAGGCTAATTCTGGGCTCTGGCTTCAACCCCTGTCCTTTCTTGATCCCCTCATGCTCCACAATATGGTTTTTTTTGTTATATTTTTTTTACCAGTGGTCTTCAGGCTGGTCATGTAACTGTTCCTCTCTGTGTTTATTACCAAGTGGTGGGAAATTCTTGTGGTTACAGAGGGTGGCACTGATTTGATGTCTGTGCTGCTCTCTGCATCCATACACGGCAAGCATAGGGTACCATGGTGAGACTGAGCCCATGGTGCTCTATACTCACAGTATGTCCTCCTCCTTCCAGGCTTGACCCAAAAGACTGAACAGCTTGTAGCATAGAAGAGGTACTGCAGGAGACTTCATTGGAAAAAAAGGATTTTTTCTTTTTTTTTTTTTCTTAAATATTCAGGGAGACTTAAATTTAAAAAAAATGAGTCCAGAGTTTAGCTTTGGTCGTTTTCTGCATTCCAGCCTTCATAAAATAAAACAAAATAAATAGCTCGTATTTAGAAATCGAATCGATTCCACCATTAGAAATCAGGCACATTTTAGTTCTAGTACTTCTTCATGAATTTATCATGTGACTTACTAATTCTCTACTCACAGGCCTTTTTGTTGGGAAGGAGGGACCGATGATTCACAGCGGGGCCGTTTGTTGGTGCAGGGCTTCCTCAAGTAAGTCTAAGTGGAATTTCTTTCATCCATATCCCCAGCATCATCTACCATGTGTATACTGGTATCTCCCCAACACTACATCCTGATGCAGACTCTTGTATTACTAGAGGAGTCATTGGCCAAGTCTAAAGGATACATCTCCGTATAATCCTAGTTTCCTCCTGTTTTGAGCTGTGATTTGGTTGCTGAACTAGCATTGCAAATTCCCTTCCCCACTGTTGTTCGACAGTGCTGCTCAGCAGCAGATGAATATCTAATGAGTTCTGATTGACAGTGTTTGCCTCTAGTAGCAGGTGCACTCTCGAGGTGAGTGCCTTCTCTATTCAAAGAAGTATGGCCAAAGTCTTTATGGACATACTTCTCTTCTGGGTCACAGGAGTGCACTTAGTTCTGCTCTTCTGTGATCCAGATTCAGCCAACAGTGAGCTAAAGCCCGCTGTCAGCTATTGTCACAGAGCCGGTCCAGGATCTGAAGGGATCCCAACGTTAATGCTGGGAGCCTCCCAGATTCCTGGCCAGCAGTTAGCTCATCCTCTCAAGCCAGCCTCTCCCTGCCCCCTGCACAGCCCGAAGTTTCAGTGAATGCTGGAGGGGCAGAGCAGAGAGCAGTGACGTACAGTCAGTGCTCTCTGCTCAGTGAAGACCGAGAACTGAGCTATCAGCATTTATGTGATCGCTCAGTTCTCAATCTTACAGCCAGCAGGGAACAGTGGCAGCATTGGACCAATGCTGCATCCACATATGTGAGTATGTAGGTTTGTTTTTTCATTTGTAATCCCACACGTCTGCTTTAATGCTGGGAGAGGTGGCTTGTCAGCACAACCATCTCCTATATGTGTTTTAAGTGAAACCCATACAGAGATTACACACATACATAAAAGAATGACAGCAGGTGCTGAGAGAATTGAATAGAGACGCTGGGGAGAAAATAACAGGGGAAATTTGGAGGAGAACGATATTGGCAGCAGTAGGTATGGGAACAGGAATGATTGTAGGAGACAAGTGTATTGAATAGAGGTGCCAGGACTAACGGACAGCAGGAGATAGGAGAAAGATGGAATTGACGATGGGGTGGGTGAGGGAAAATGACAGCGGGGGGAGAGCATAAAAGAGGGAGGTAGCTCCTCTAGTAATGCCCACAAATCGGGCTTCATGCAGGGGTGGCGCTAAAGATGTGCTTTTCTTTAAATTGGTTCTGCTTTTCCTTCCTGAAGCACTGATTATTTTTTGACTTGAATCATTGAGTTAGGAGGTAAGCTTTTATCGCTGCTAAAACATCTTTGTTAATAGATTGATGTTTCTGAAAAATGAACTGTCTGTGTAGCTACTGTATCCCATAGCTACTATTACTTTTAACCTTCTGTGCTAGAAGGGCAAATGTTGAATTATGTTTGGATGGTAATGTCTTCATCCTTCTCATCTACCATTTATCTGATAATGAACTCCTACACTGACCATCACATGAAAACTTTGATTATACAGGGCGCAATGTGATTGGTGCGTATGAGACAGCACACAGCTTTCTGCAACCAACTAGTCAGAATAGCATGGGGGCTTTCAAGGACAGACTGTTTTTATGCAGTTGTAAATGAGGTGAACCGTTTTTTAGACTGTTTGGTAAATGAGGCCTGGTGTTTGAATTACTCCATCTGTAAGACTGTATGCAGGCTGAGATTAGAGGTGTATCTGCAACCCTTCCAGAATAAGATAGATCAGACATTGTCCATCCCTAATACTGACCTCTTTGTCTCTCTTCCAGTTCCAGAGCATTTCATTCCAGAAGATTCGCTTTGACTTTCCGTATTTTCGCAGTGACAGGTACAGCCAGTAGTGAATTGGCGATGAAGACAAACGTCTATTTCAACATACACAAGTGTTGGCTTCCTCATTAATGACTTCTTGTTCTCTTCCTTAGGGACAAGAGAGACTTTGTTTCTGCTGGTGCAGCGGCAGGGGTGGCGGCTGCCTTCGGGGCTCCCATTGGGGGTACGCTTTTCAGTTTGGAGGAAGGGTCATCGTTCTGGAATCAGGGGCTAACCTGGAAAGTAGTGAGTAGTTAGCATGGTTCATCTCTTGTGACAGCATTGTACTGGTTCTGTACAATGGCTGTGAAAAAAAAAAAACATCAGCTGTAGAGTGCCACCCTTGAAGATTGTTCCTGTGTGCATGATCAGTGATCTCTGTGCTAAGTACAGTAGTACAACTCTAATTTGATTGGTCTCTCTTCTCTGTCAGCTCTTCTGCTCCATGTCCGCAACATTTACGCTGAACTTTTTCCGCTCCGGGATACTGTTTTCAAGCTGGGGGTCATTCCATGTTCCTGGGCTCCTAAACTTTGGGGAGTTTAAGGTACATGTCTAATATGTCATTACAATTTGCGTTGTCTTGTACTTTTTTTGCGGGGGGGGGGGGGGGGGGGGGGTAGAGAACAGTTACACCTGGTTCACATCATGTGACCCCAAAGTTGTGCGACTGAGGTCCGAATATGATGTGAGGCTTCACTGCCTTTTGCTGCCACTTCAATAATAGGAGTCAATGCAAGTCGCAATTTTTTGAGTCACAGTGATTAAAATGGTTCCATTGAAAGATATGGGATACGATTTATGTGACTTCGAAGATGCATGAAAAGTCGCAATGACTTGAACAGAGGCTTAAAGTGTTAATCCAACAATCCAATCCTTATGTGCTGCTATAGATTTATCCCAAACCCTTTGTGCTATACACAAAATTAATGAATCTGGTGAAAAACAAAATAAAATGTGGTACACAATATATGCTACAAAAATATATAGAAAATATATATAACTAGCCGCAGTGCACTCAGTGACCTCTCATACTAGCTATACAGAACTCCAATATGTCAAAATTTGTGCTGCGCTAGTCGCACAATAATAATTAGTGTACATATGATCCTAAACCCCATAAAAACATTAAGCCACACGCAACAACGTTAATAATTGGACTTTTATTTGCACATTTTGATTGCGATTGGGATATTTACTCACTTGTATTGGAATTTACATATATATGTATTGATTTATATGCATAGTAGTGCATTATCACTGAAGTTTTATAGAATGTTATTGCATGAGGCTTAATGTTTGTGGGGTTTAGTATCGTACTGTATGTACACTAATTATTATTGTGTGACTAGCGCAGCACTAATTTTGATATATTGGGGTTAAAGTGTTACTAAACCCCGGACCCTGCATTCACTATATCTGGTCTCCCCGGACCCTGCATTCACTATATCTGATCTCCTTGGACCCTGCATTCACTATATCTGGTCTCCCAGGACCCTGCATTCACTATATCTGGTCTCCCAGGACCCTGCATTCACTATATCTGGTCTCCCAGGACCCTGCATTCGCTATATTTGGTCTCCCCGGACCCTGCATTCACTATATCTGGTATCCCCGGACCCTGCATTCACTATATCTGGTCTCCCCTGGACCCTGAATTCGCTATATTTGGTCTCCCCGGATCCTGCATTCACTATATCTGGTATCCCCGGACCCTGCATTCACTATATCTGGTCTCCCCGGACCCTGCATTTACTATATCTGGTCTCCCCAGACTCTGCATTCACTATATCTTGTGTCCTCGGACCCTGCATTCACTATATCTAGTCTCCCCGGACCCTGCATTTACTAAATCTGGTCTCCCCAGACTCTGCATTCACTATATCTTGTGTCCTCGGACCCTGCATTCACTATATCTGGTCTCCCACAGTACACAGAACATGGAAATGCAATTATTTTAGTAACTATAAACAGTCAAATACCAAATAACAATGCTCTGGCTTCTCCCACCCGCCTTGATCTGTCTGCATTGTGTAGAGAAGTACAGAGACCCAGTTATAGCTTCATAAAGTTGAAATAAAGTCATGGTATTAAAACCAGCACTGTTAAAGCCAGATTTCAGCCCCCCCCCCCCACTCCACCCCATTCATTAAACAATATATAGTATGCATTCTTTATTTTCAGTTGTCTTCCAGTTGGTCACTTGAAGAACAGAATCCTCCCCCTTCTTGTCTGACTAATGTGCATACTGCTTTCTTTCCTCATGTCCTGTATATCTTCTGTTTTGTTTGTGTTGTCCTATACATTCTTGACAGCATGATTAGAGCATAACCGTAGTTGTACTGTCCGTTGTCATGTTGATTCTCTTTCAGTGTTCAGATTCAGACAAGAAGTGTCACCTGTGGACTGTAGTGGACTTGGCCTTCTTTATCATCATGGGGGTGGTTGGTGGATTGCTGGGGGCCATGTTCAACTGCCTGAATAAAAGACTGGCTAAGTATCGTATGAAGAATGTCCACCCAAAGCCAAAGCTTATCAGGTACGTCAACAACCACAGCATGTGTGACCGCTAATGCATCACTGTATATATACTGCCATCATCTTCCACAGTGCTATACAAAGAAGGTGTACTGGAACAAGAACCTTACAAGCCATGCCCTGAGCTGCTGTTGTAGCAAATGTTTCATGTGCACAGGATAGAACTAACCAGCATATGATGCAACTTGCTGGAAATCTTCTCTAGCTCAAACTGCAGATATTTGCGAAGTACATACCAGTTATTGGTGGAGTGCATACTGAATACATGAAGCACTGGGGATAAAATTTTGATTAAAAAGTGCTTATTGAGTAGTAGGGCATCCTGTAGGAATAGAAAAAAAGAAAATTAAAGCAAACAGATTGTTGCTTCTCTGGACTGTAAAAATAAATTTGGGCACAACTGGCATCTTTTCATCTATCGTGTAGAGCCCCCCGAGAGATATTATTGATCTTTACGTAATAATGCACTGACTGTTCATGTGCAGATTATCACCCCCCAGCGGCCACATTTGACAAATATCTGAACCTAATTGGATGAAATAGAGCCTTCTTGGTCAAACATTGAGTTTTCCAAAGTCATATACAAGCGTAGGACATTCCAAATACATGTACAAGATAAAAAGAAAAAAGGAGAACATGTAGCCCTACTGCAAAGGGGAAAATGTCGTACAAAAACAAATGGCAAGGAACCATGGAGAAACATTGGGGAATAATGTACCACAAAGGGAGATAAGATATGGTTAACCTCTAGATAGGGAGCGCTACTCCCAAAAACCACATGAAGTTTCCATGTAGGGTGAGGAGAGGAAAGCAGAAGTGAGTAGAAAAGAGGAGGGGAAGATTAGGAGAGACCAAGGGAGGGAGTAGAGGGGTAGGGGGGGAGGGATGGAAGGATGTGTGACTTCTGGAAGAGAAGAGGTAAGCTCGGGACCGGACCAATGTATAGTTCAGCACACAGGACCACCACAGAGCGAGACTAGGAGATGTTAAGGGAGGAGCAACGAATCATCAAAATTCGGTGGGAGGAAACAGTCCACCCGAAATAGGGTCTTCTAATACACCTTTCTGTCTTCCAGGGTCTGTGAGAGTCTGCTTATCTCTCTGGTCACCACAGTCATCGTCTTTGTGTCATCGATGGTTCTGGGGGAATGCCGGAAACTTTCTCCTCCAACTGACTGGAACAACGGCACCATGTCTATGCAGGTACCTGAAATGTCTCTCAGTTCATGTATGTTTTTAGGAACGTGCCTCTATGTGGCAAGTTGTCCTAGGGGGCCTGTTCATACCAGCATCTGCTCTCCTCCGAACACTGCAATGCGCTCTACATTTCAGCTGCCATTCATAAAATGCAAGTCACAGTGTCCCACAGTGTGCCCTTTGCTGAAATTGGTTCTAAACAGAAAAGGTATTTTTATCAAAACATTGGGCTAATGACCTATAATGCTACCACCTCCCCCTCACTCCCCCTCTCTGTTGGGGTCCCTCAAGGCTCTGTCCTCGGGCCCCTTCTCTTCTTCATCTACACCTCCTCCCTTGGCCAACTCATACACTCTCACGGCTTCAACTACCACCTCTATGCCGACGACACATAAATCTATCAACCCCCCACCTCACCCCCTTGGTCTCCGCCCGAATCACACACCTACTGAGCAACATATCAGACTGGATGTCGCTCCACTTCCTTAAACTGAACCTCTCCAAAACCGAGTTTCTTGTCTCCCCCCCAGCCCGGACCCCACCCCCCATTGACTTCTCCATCACATCCAACAACGCCACCATCAAACCCGCCCCACAGGCCAGAGTACTTGGTGTCATTCTGGACTCCAACCTATCCTTCCAGCCCCAAGTCCAATCTTTAACAAACTCGTGCAGACTCCACCTCCGCAACATCACCAAAATACGCACGTTCCTAACTCCAGAAACCACTAAACAGCTCATCCACTCCCTCATCATATCACGACTCGACTACTGCAACTCCCTCCTCACTGGCCTGCCTCGCCGCTGGCTATCCCCGCTTCAGTCGATCCTGAATACGGCTGCCAGACTCATTCACCTTTCCAACCGCTCCATTTCCGCCACCCCTCTCTGCCAATCCCTCCACTGGCTTCCGATTGCGCAACGGATCAAATTCAAAATCCTAACACTGACGTACAAAGCTGTCCACCATACTGCCCTGAACTACATCACTGACCTAATATCCAAGTACCGCCCAGCACGCACACTCCGCTCCTCACAAGACCTCCTTCTCTCTAGTTCCCTGGTCTCCTCCTCCCATGCCCGCCTCCAGGACTTCTCCAGGGTGTCACCCATCCTCTGGAACTCCCTGCCCCAACCCATCAGATTATCACCTACTCTCCTCTCCTTTAGGCGCACCCTGAAAACCCATCTCTTCAGGGAAGCCTACCCCACTCCCTGCTAACTTGCCGACCTCCTCCATTCTTCCTACCACTCCATCCCCCACAGCTCTCTCCTCCTGTGCCACCATCCCCTCCCTCCTAGATTGTAAGCTCGAAAGAGCAGGGCCCTCGATCCCCTCATGTTTTGCATTGTATTGGTATTGTTCTGTCACATGTTCTGTCCCCCGCTGAGCGAACCATTGGCGCTTTATAAATACTGTATAATAATGCCCAATCAAGAAGACAAAGGATACCACATCCTATCGCTAGAAATTGAATTGGGAAAAAAAAGACACACATGGACTTTCTGGGTACTCCATAGACATGTACAGTAGTACACAAATCAAGTTAAAAATCACAAATGAAAAGATCAGCCTCTCAAATCATGGAGCGTGTTTCCCTTAGCAACTACACAAGTATAAATCTATTACCCCAGTCCTGGGGTGAAATACATTATAAGAACACGCAAACTCCAACCATATTATGGTCTTCTATATGTTTTGCAGTATGAGCTGCTTCTTCAGGTAGAGTAGAGGCGTAGTTTTGTAGTTGATCTAAACAGACAGCATCCTACTCCTGCAGGCAGCCCAAAAATCAGATCTTTAAGATCTTTGCTGTGTCCTTCAATGAACGCAGAGAAAGATATTTTAAGCGTGGAATACAGCATGTATGTATTATACTCAAAGCTGCTATGGCCTTCTACATATTTATTTCCTGCATCTCTGTTGCGCCAACATGTCCCACAGCTCTGTACAGACTAGAAACATTCGTATCGGTCTCTGCCTCCAGAGAAGCACCTTGTTTATTGTTCCCAACAGACACCCAGTTTATTCTCTTTCCATCAGTTTTCCTCATCTGATGAAGTCAATTCCAGCATCAGGACCTTCTTCTGTCCCAACAATACCTACAACGACATGGCCACCCTCTTCTTCAACCCTCAGGAGTCCGCCATCTTGCAACTCTTTCATCAAGAAGGTAAGTATTGCTCGTACAGTAGTATTTCTTTTTTGCCGTCAGGCTGTCGGCAATTGTTTGCGTGAAAGGTTCTCCCCATCTCTTGTGTTCCAGGCACTTTCAGCCCCATCACTCTGTCTTTCTTCTGCTCTATGTACTTCCTCTTGTCCTGCTGGACGTATGGTATTTCTGTGCCTAGTGGTCTTTTTGTGCCCTCCTTGCTCTGTGGAGCTGCCTTTGGTCGTTTGGTAGCTAACCTCCTGAAAAGGTAGACTATACATGAGTGGCTGGTCTCCCAGCTGTTTCTTGGCCTGACCTCTTGTGTTTTTGTTCAGTTACTTGGGATTGACCCATATCTATTCTGGAACCTTTGCCTTGATCGGTGCTGCGGCTTTCCTCGGGGGCGTGGTCCGGATGACCATCAGCCTTACAGTCATCCTCATCGAATCAACAAATGAGATCTCGTATGGCCTGCCTATAATGATCACACTCATGGTGAGTTGCTTTTTAGTGCACAAACCACTAGTTAATACCGGTGGCATTGGCAAGGCATTAAATTGGCACTCTAGGTAAGTGCTAAGCACCTTCATGAATATAAAGGGCTGAAAGATGCGTATATTCGCCTGCTTGTTGAGTGCACTGTATAGAAAAAAATATAAATGTTGGGGCAATAGTTGGTGGTGAAATTCCTCAAACATTGTTATAGATTCAACCCCTTTCCCTTACCTTGATTTGAGGAAATTGATTTCAGCTGCTTTGAAGGCCTATGCAGCCACCAGTGTGGGTGCCTACAGTCAGCGCTGTCAGTTCCTTCATCCTTTTTATTCAAGGGCTCTTCCGTACGGCTGTATGTTAAAATTTGTGCATTTTGTAGAATAGCTTTTTAAACAACTATTAAAATATGATTACTTCATACTCGTTTTCAACCAGCTTTTCCCTTTTCACACGCTTACCAGGCTTAAAATCCTGTTTAAAGAGCTTAATAGCTCAGGCTGAAAATTACACGTGTATCAAAGCAGAGACTTCTCACAGCAGTAACCTCACAGCATGATATACAGAAGTGGTCTCCAAACTGTGGCCCTTTGCTTGCCTTTTTTTGGCCCTTGGGGCACTATTCCTTCCAATGATATGAGGCACGTCTCCCCCTACTGACACCCAGCAATGAAGCACCATTCCTTCCACTGACACCAATAATAGCACATAATTCCTACCAATATTTAAGATGACAGAACACTATGCTTCCCACTGACACCATAGTTAGGGCAGTATACCTCCCAGTAATACTAGTGACCAGGAATTATTCCTTCCACTGACCCCATGGATAGGGCACTATTCCTCCAGCTGTTACCAATGATGGGGCACTATTCCTCCCATTGACACTAATGATGGTGCACTAGAAGGATCACCAGCAGGCGGAAGGAGGTCCTGATTCCCCTATATAGATCTTTAGCTATCACTGGAGGGATCACCAGCAGGAGGAAGGAGGTCCTGATTCCACCATATAGATCTTTAGTTATCACTAGGGGGGTCACCAGCAGGTGGTCCTGATTGCTCTATACAGATCTTTAGTTATCACCAGCAGGTGGAAGGAGGTCGTGATTCCTCTATTTAGATCTTTAGTTATCACTAGAGGGATCACCAGCAGGAGGAAGGAGGACCTGATTCCCTTATATACCTCTTCAGTTATCACTAGAGGGATCACCAGCAGGAGGAAGGAGGTCCTGATTCCTCTATATAGATCTTTAGTTATCACCAGCAGGAGGAAGGAGGTCCTGATTCCCTTATATACCTCTTCAGTTATCACTAGAGGGATCACTAGCAGGAGGAAGGAGGTCCTGATTCCCCTATATAGATCTTCAGTTATCGCTAGAGGGATCACCAGCAGGAGGAAGGAGGTCCTGATTCCCCTATATAGATCTTCAGTTATCGCTAGAGGGATCACCAGCAGGAGGAAGGAGGTCCTGATTCCTTCATATAGATCTTTAGTTATCACCAGCAGGAGGAAGGAGGTCCTGATTCCTCTATATAGATCTTTAGTTATCAGTAGGGGGATCACCAGCAGGAGGAAGGAGGTCCTGATTCCCTTATATACCTCTTCAGTTATCAGTAGGGGGATCACCAGCAAGAAGAAGGAGGTCCTGATTCCCTTATATACCTCTTCAGTTATCACTAGGGGGATCACCAGCATTAGGAAGGAGGTCCTGATTCCTCTATATAGATCTTTAGTTAGACCTAATTTAGAATACTGTGTCCAGTTTAGAAGACCTCACCTAGAACAAAATAAATTAGAACAAGTCTAGAGAATGGCAACAAACATGATGAAAGGTCTGAGTGATAAAACCTGAAGAGAAGAGACTGCAGGAACATCATATGTAAAGTATTGAGGGGAGAAGGGAAAGGGGGGACACAACTGAAATCTTTAAATATAAAAGGGGGGAAGAATAAGGCTCAGGAGAGAAGTATTTTGAATATGAAGATCAAGAACATGAGGACATGACCTCAAACCAGCAAAAGGATAGTTAAAAGTTAAACCTAGAAAGTATTTCACCAAAGGAGTAGTTGCTGCTTGGACCAGACATCCAGCACTCAACAGTAAAGCTGGCCATACGCGTATAGATTTTCGTTCGAGAATTTTCGTTTCAAGAATATTCATTTGATTTTCTAATCGTTAGTGGGGTCATATCGATGTTCGTTTTCGACAGCAGTGACGGGAAATTTTCGAAGGGGCAGTAAGGAAAACTTTACTCAATCAGCTACTGTATGTGGTTATCATTCAGAAATTTACATTCTTTTTTTAAAATTGAATGTTAAAAGCAAAAGACCATTTTTGAATGACAATCGTCCATTCATTGAATGTGCAAAGAATTTTCATACGACTTTTCTTACGAATATTCTCGTCCGAAAATCGACATGTATATGGCCAGCTTAAGCATTTCTAAATTCAAACACAGATCCTATACTCAGACAAAGAGGTAAAAAAAAAAAAAAATGGATCGGACTTGGACTACTTGTTTTTTTTTCTGCTGTTACTCTCCTGAGTTTTTAGAAGTGAGCGGTAGATGGTGGCTGATTTAGTGTCCTTTTTTTTTTTTTTTTTAGGTAGCAAAATGGACTGGTGATCTCTTCAATAAAGGGATCTATGATGTCCATATTGGACTGAGGGGCGTGCCTTTGCTGGAGTGGGAGACCGAAGAGGAAATGGACAAGTAAGGAGGTCTTCTAAAAAAAAAAAAAAAAAATTTTCATTAAATGGGCTAAAAAGGGATACTGAGAGGGGGTCCCCCCCCCTAAATTTATATGGTAGGAGCCTTGATGACTGTGATGGTTGTCTGAAATCAGGCCCTGACCTGTCCCTAAACATCACATATCTTATTGAGACTAAATAATTGAATACATCAGAGAAGTGTTTGTTTTTTTTGCCTTTTTTGGTTTGCCACCATCATTCCCCCCAGAACCCAAGATCTTACAGGGTTAATTATAAGGAGTGTAGCCAGATATCATCTTTCCCTAATGTCTTGCTTGTCACAGGTTAAGAGCCAGCGATATCATGGAACCCAACCTCACCTATGTATACCCTCACACCCGCATCCAATCCCTGGTCAGCATCCTGCGCACTACCGCCCATCATGCCTTCCCTGTAGTGACTGAGAACCGTGGAAATGAAAAGGAGTTCATGAAGGGAAACCAGCTGATCAGCAACAACATCAAGTTTAAAGTCAGTACCTGGGGTGGGGATGGGCAGACCAAAAACTGGAAACAGATGTACTAAATAATTTTTTTTTAAGCTGATATTTAGACAGATATACAAAGCAACAAAAATCTTTATATGCAGTTGTTTATTCCTTTTAAAAATTTATTTTTGCTAGGAACCAATTAGGCTTAGCTATGTGCCGACATAATGTGCTGACAGTATTTAATGTATTGTTGTTCTTTTACTGTGCAGTCAGAAGGTTGTGTGTAGGGAGGTGACACCACTTCCTTAAAGTTTGGCTTCCAATACACAGATGCGTGTACCTGTGCGAACGACTGTCTTTGCCTGCACAGAATGCACAAGCTTTGTGCGCAGGCAACCCCATTTGTGCCTATTGGGGCTGGGACTGCATAGACACAGCAGCTGATCCCAATTTCATAGCTGTTCAACGCACAATGTCTGCATTTGGGGCACGCACCTGCACAGCTTTCAAATTGGGACTAATGGCTGTGTCAGTGCTGTTGCTGCGTCCCAATAGACACGAATGGGACTGCGTTTATGTAGATGCACGGAACTTCTGTACATGTCATGTGGGTGAAGATTTGTACGGGTGTACGCATAGATAATCCCATGTGAACAAAGTCTTTATGTAACCCTTTAAATTGATCATTAACAAATGCATTCTTTTGTTAAATGAACTGGTAATGATTCTTCTTTATCTACTAATCTCTTAGTTGCTAAGAAAACCTGATGACCCTGCCAGTTCCTCGCACTGCCTAGAGCAGGGGTGTCAAACTGCGGCCCTCCAGTTGTTGCAGAACTACAAATCACTTGAGGCATTGCAGAGCTGACACTTAAAAGCTTGACTCCCAAAGGCAAAGGCATGATGGGACTTGTAGTTTCTGAACAGCTGGATGGCCGCAGTTTGACACCTGTGCCCTAGAGCATTCTGACCATGCCTAGCATGGAAGCAGATCCATGCTGGCAGGGTCAGTTTTTGTCCCTCAGCTAATTATAGTTGCATGATGCTGTGCTGATGCATGGCAAGTCTGTCATCCTGTAAGCAAGCTTGCTGTTACGCCCCTGCTTAGTCCTGCTTTGCCTGCTTAACACAGTGCACATAGACAGGGAAGGTTTTCTCTTCTGACGTCATTCAGCTGTCTGCTCTCAGGCCATGGAGACTCACCCTCAAACCCAGGAAAGAGCAGTGTTAGAGGAGTTCAGGGATGCTGATGTAATGAGTAAGTCATTTTTTGTCTCCTTTACACAGAAGTCCAGCATTCTGACTCGAGCTGGTGAGCAGCGGAAGAGGAGTCAGTCTATGAAGTCTTACCCGTCCAGTGAACTGCGCAACATGTGTGATGAAAATTTGGCCTCAGAAGAAGCCTCTGAGAAGGAGGACATGCTGCAGCAGATGTTAGAAAGAAGGTAAGGATTGCAATCCAGGTTAAAAAATTGTCTAAATGCAAGAACCCAATTTTTTTTTTCCTGGAGTCTTGGTGCTTTTTGTGTTTCTTTCAGATTTGTGCAGTATTTCAACATGAAACAATTTTTGTACTTTTGCCTCTATGCAGGAGCTTTCTGTAATAAAGACCGGTCACTGCTGCTCTCTCTGGGCAGAGGGACGGTCTTGTATCCACTGTCTCCTGTAGTCCTCTGCAGGCAGACAGTAGTGGGAGGAACTGCTTGGTCCTTCCCAACAGTTCTGCTATTTACATCCCAGTGATGAATTCACTGCTACTTTTACAAGGTGATGTCTGGGTTTGCTGCACACAAAGTGAATTCTTATATGTTGTGGCTATTGAGGGATATAAAGTAAAATTACAGCTGCTCAAGGTAGAGAAACTCCCAATCTCCAAGCACAACTCCTCCTGTAGGTGCTAGCCCAGCTCGTATGCTGCATAGGTGAGAACAAAGGACGTCCGATCAGCTGCACTCCAAACAATCCACTTTACTGAACCAAGATAAAGCCAATACAGACAGTGGAAATCCAGTGGGGGACTGACAAGTAAACACGTTTCACGCTAAAGACAGCGCTTATTCTTAGGGGTAATGAATAAGTGCTGTCTTTAGCGTGAAACGCGTTTATCTGCCAGTCCCCCACTGGATTTCCACTGTCTGTATTGGTTTAATCTTGGTTCAAAAAAGTGGATTGTTTGGAGTGCAGCCAATCGGATGTCCTTTGTTCTCATAAATATAAACACATCTCTTAGCAAATATTACACTCCCATGCCCCCTGGGACTTAACCTCTTGGCGCCGGCCGCATGCAAATGTGCGGCCTCCCGACGTCTGGGCCTTGACGCCGAGTGGCCGCACATTTGCATGCAATTAAGAAAAACGTGCTGAGAGCGCGTGCCCTGTGCCCTTCCAGTACACATGTCCGGTACTCATGGAAAGGTCCCAATCTCCTCTTGCGATCGGGACCTTTCTCAATCATGTGACTGCTGTGGCAGCCAATCACGGCAGTCACATGACTCTAAAACCCTGCCCGCCTCCCGGCTTCTTAAAGGGCTGGGAGGCGCCGGTGCCAAGGGGTTAAGCAAAGTGTTTGCATTTTACGGCAGTTATGTAAGTCCCGGTACTTACGGGCTTTGCGTATATACCTGTACAGTCATGGTTTCATCCCCCCTGTTATTCATTTGTACAGACTGGCTGTATGATCCACCTGTCCCTCTTGGTCACAGAGATATACCGAACATACTCTATGACCCTCTTGTGTGCTGTGTGCAAGAGAGACCCTAATGTGTGCTTTGTATTCCATACTGGTACTATTCAACTTGTGTATGTTCTCTACTATTGATATGCAACATTTCTGTCTCCAGGTACACCCCTTACCCTAACCTGTACCCTGACCAATCCCCCAGCGAGGAGTGGACTATGGAAGAACGCTTCCGTCCATTGACCTTCCACGGCCTTATCCTGCGCTCCCAGCTGGTGACGTTACTAGTCCGGGGTGTTTGCTACTCAGAAACGCAATCTGTAAGTGCTGCAAGAACCTCCCATCCTATTTCCTGCACTTAAATATGTAGCCATCCTTCAGTGAGTAATTTAGTTCTGGGTTGGTGGAAGCTCTGAAGTTTTGATGCCAAACATTTTGGAACCAGAAACTTCCAATAGAAAACATTTCCTTTATCAATATTTCCCTGTAGCAGTAAATTGCAACTATTTTTATAAAGATATTTGTCTTCCATTGGATCAACTGAGGCGTTAAAGCTGAACTTCAGGATTCTTTTAAAATCTCTTCAAATCTCTTCTAAAATTCTCTTTCCCCCAAAGCACAATAAATGTGCTTTTTTCACTTTTTCTGCAAGTGTATAGAAGCTTATTAGACATATATTAAGTGTATATGTATTAACATGTGTGTAGTCAGGATTCAGGTGGGGTTTTAGACAATGGAAAGTACTAGGGAGAGGAGATCTGTTAATACAGGATATAAAATGCATTAAATATGCTTAAACAATGCCCCAAAACATTCGAATTGAGCATTTTCAGGCAATCCCATTGAAGTCAATGGGGCAGAAATGCTCAATTCGGCCTATATTTTAGATACTTGTATAGCCCCATCAATTTACGCAACGCTTTACATATATATATTATACATTCACATCAGTCCCTAACCCTCAAGGGGCGTACAATCTAAGGTCCCTAACTTACATTCATACATACACATACTAGGGCCAATTTAGATAGGAGCCAATTAACCTACTGTAAAGTAGCTCACGTTTTGGAGGGACAGTCATCTAGCTACAAGCAACAAGATGCTCAAAAGTGAACAGGGGCTATTGAAGTACATATGATTTTGAATGTTTGAGCATTTTTGAACATTGCCTGGAGCTTTGGTCCAAACAAACTATTTCCTTCACTAACAGACATGCCGCTGGGAGTGTCGTTTAAACTGTGTGTAGCTACATACAGTATACAGTGCTACATTCTGGCAACGGTACAGACTTCCTATCCCGTTCCCAGAACAGAATTGAGCCGGTCTGAGCTCTATTCACAGGGAGCTTTGTATTTTTATGAATGAATACAAGGCTTCTTCTGATTGTCTGAGGTGGAGCTCCTGCCTCACCATCTCAGCCAATCAAAGGAAGCCCACCTCAACCCACTTATATTTCCCAAACCCGGTGAAAGTATCATGTCGGAGGGTGCTAGAGCTTACGTAGAGTTGATGGCGTCCTCTCCTTCCCTCCCACCCTTTCACTCTGCTTTAGTGCTATAACCTGGTGATTGGCTGCTGAGGCTGGAGCACTGTTTCCTGTCAGGAGGTTACATGCTCTTCCATGCTCAGAAGCAGCCGGTCTCAGTATAGAGCAGTGAGGAGATCATAAGAAAGGGGCATGTAAAATGGCTTCAAATGAGCTTTCAAGAGACCATGTCACTTTGCCCTGAATGGTGATGGCAAAGGATATTTGCTTTGCAGTTTCAGTTACATAATTAGTCTGGCTGAAAAAAGACAAAAGTTCATTCAGTTCAACCATTAAAAAAAAAAAAAAAAAGTTATAATCCTATACCCACAGTTGATCCAGAGGAAGGCAAAAAACCCAGCAAAGCATGATCCAATTTGCTCGCGTAGGGAAAAAAATTCCTTCCTGATCCCCGAGAGGCAACATCGGATATTCCCTGGATCAACTTTACCTATAAATGTTAGTATCCAGTTATATTCTGTGTATCTAGGAAAGAATCCAGGACTTTTTTAAAGCAATCCACTGAGCTGGCCAGAACCAACTCTTGAGGGAGTCTATTCCACATTTTCACAGCTCTTACTGTGAAGAAACCTTTCCATGTTTGGAGGTTAAATCTCTTTTCCTCCAGACGTAAAGAGTGCCACCTTGTCCTCTGTGATGACCTCAGGGTGAATAGCTCTACACCGAGTTCACTATATGAACCACTGATGTATTTATACATGGAGATCATATCCCCCCTTATGTATTATACATGGAGATCATATCCCCCCTTATGTATTATACATGGTGATCATATCCCCCCTTATGTATTATACATGGAGATCATATCCCCCCTTATGTATTATACATGGAGATCATATCCCCACTTATGTATTATACATGGAGGTCATATCCCCCCTTATGTATTATACATGGAGATCATATCCCCCCTTATGTATTATACATGGAGATCATATCCCCCCTTATGTATTATACATGGAGATCATATCCCCCCTTATGTATTATACATGGAGATCATATCCCCCTTATGTATTATACATGGTGATCATATCCCCCCTTATGTATTATACATGGTGATCATATCCCCCTTATGTATTATACATGGAGATCCTATCCCCCCTTATGTATTATACATGGAGATCATATCCCCCCTTATGTATTATACATAGTTGATCATATCCCCCCTTATGTATTATTACATAGTGATCATATCCCCCCTTATGTATTATACATGGAGATCATATCCCCCCTTATGTATTATACATGGAGATCATATCCCCCTTATGTATTATACATGGAGATCATATCCCCCCTCATGTATTATACATGGAGATCATATCTCCCCTTATGTATTATACATGGTGATCATATCCCCCTTATGTATTATACACGGAGATCATATCCCCCCTTATGTATTATACATGGTGATCATATCCCCCCTTATGTATTATACATGGAGATCCTATCCCCCCTTATGTATTATACATGGAGATCATATCCCCCCTTATGTATTATACATGGAGATCATATCCCCCCTTATGTATTATACATGGAGATCCTATCCCCCCTTATGTATTATACATGGTGATCATATCCCCCCTTATGTATTATACATGGAGATCATATCCCCCCTTATGTATTATACATGGTGATCATATCCCCCCTTATGTATTATACATGGTGATCATATCCCCCCTTATGTATTATACATGGGGATCATATCCCCCCTTAATCTCTTCTCAAAAGAGAATAAATTCAGTTCCTCTAATCTTTCCTCATAGCTGAGCTCCTCCATGCCTTTTATCAGTTTGGTTGCCCTTCTCTGTACTTTCTCCAGTTCCCCAATGTTCTTTTTGTGAATTGGTGCCCAAAACTGAACTGCATATTCCAGATGAGGTCTTACTAATGATTTGTATCGGGGGAAATGATATCTCTCTCTCTGGAGTCTATACCTCTCCTAATACAAGAGGATTTTGCTCGCTTTAGAACCTGCAGCTTGGCATTGCATGCCATTTATTAAGTTATAGTCAGCTGACCTGACAATGCCTGCAGACCATTCATATAATATCTACCCTTGTTGCCCACCCCCCTATTAGCATGCAACTAAAATGTTCAATTCAGTTGTTTGGTTTTTAAGAAATATCTCTTTTGAGACACAGTAATGTCATCACTGGCTCAGTCTGCTGTGCTGTTTGGTGGGAGTTATGGCAGGTTTCTGTAAACATCAGATCACCCTGCCCAATGAACGTATCCCTGGCATCCCTTTAGATGTGCATCACTGCTGGCCGCTGGGTGATAGAGACTTTAGCTGTGCACTCTGCTTATCAGTTGCTTGATTACACTTTAATAGAGTGTAATCATACAACTGATCAGCAGGGAGAAGCATGCAGGTCTAAAGGGATGTGGTGTTTCATATGAATATGACGACCGCTCAGATCAGGAGGATAAGGGGATTAATGATGATGTAATTCAGACGGGAAACAAAGGAGAGTTCAAGATAGATGTTGCAACTTCAAAATGTCATATTGTGGAGATGCAAGTGCATGTTTGCATGGAATTGAGAGTAATCACTTGTTACAAGTATGGGGGGGGGGGGGGGTGTTAGGTGAGGTTGGAGTTTGGCTTTAATATATTTTGTATTGTTTTATTAGAGTGCCAGCCAGCCCCGTCTGACCCATGCAGAGATGTTGGAAGATTACCCACGTTACCCCGACATTCACGACGTCAATCTAACACTCCTAAATCCGCGGATGATAGTGGTGAGTAGAAGAAGCAGAAGATCAATACAGGAAAGAAAAATGTATTTTCACTGCATTGCTCTGTGTAAATTCTGTTTATACATAACATATATTGTAATATATGCTCAACACAATTTATTATTTATTTATGCCTATAAGGTACAGAAAGTGAGATTTATGCACACCAATGACAAATAACCGCTTCCTGACCACCCTATAGCAGAAATACTGCTACAGGGCGGTACGGGTGCGCAAAATCACATGTGTATATATACGTGATCTTGCATTTCCGGGTAGGGGGCGTGCACACACCCTACCCGCACCTCCGTTCGCGGCCATGGCTGTCAATCATTGGGTCCCAGCCGGTGATTTCCGAGGATCTCGGACGGGGAGGAGAACTGTTTGTAAATAAAACATTCTCCCTGTTGGTATGTGCACACTGCTTTGCATGGCTTACAGTGAAGCAGTGTGATTACAGTGAAGCACAGGGACAAAGCACAGTGTAAAACAGCACACAGTTAACCCATTGATCACCCCTCATGTTAACCCTTCCTTCCCATTGCCATTAATACAGTGTCAGTCTTTTTTTTTTTTTTCTTTTAGCACTGATCACTGTATTAGTGTTATCGGGGATGTCAGTGACACCAAGTCAGTTTTTCCCCAGTGTCAGAATACCCGCCGCAGTCCCGCTATAAGTCGCTGATCGCCGCCATTACTAATAAAAATATATTTAATAAAAAAAGGCCAGTATATAAACCGCCATGTAAACACTATAACTTTCACATAAACCAATTAATTTAAATGTATTTGGATTTTTTTTTTAGCAAAGACATGTAGCAGAATACATTTTGGACTAAATTTATGACATTTGTTTTACTGGACATGTTTAACAGCAAAATGTCAAAAATATTTTTTTTTCTCAAAATTGTCGGTCTTTTTTTTTTTTTTTTTCTCCATAGCGCAAAAAATAAATGCACAGGCGATCAAATACCACTGAAAGAAAGCTCAATTTGTGGGAAAAAAGGACGTAAATTAAATTTGGGTGCAGCGTTGCATGACCGTGCAATTGTCAGTTAAAGTAACATAGCGCCATAATGCAAAAAAATGGCCTGGTCAGGAAGGAGGGAGGGGATGTAAATCCTCAGGAGGGCAAGTGGTTAAAGTGCACCTGTAATTGTTCTGCAGGGCAGCAGGCTATTTCGTAGAGAGGTTGCATGCAGCTATGTTAAGTTGCCTTCCTTTCACTCCTTTGTTGCTCTGTTCACCCCTGAGTGGTAGGAGAAGAAGCCCTGTGCAAGCTCAAGTCAGTCCAAGTTGGAGCCTACACAAGGCTGAGGACTCTCTACACCCCTATGTGACAGTGCTGGTGCCTGAGCAGACAGTCAGCAAACATTGTGACCTGGGAGGATACTATACCTGGAACTACTGGGGTAATTGTCTGTGCTGCAGCAGAGGGACGTATACACAGCTGCATGAGATCAGCTCTCAGCTGAACACAGTGGCGGACTGACAACTCATGGGGCCCCCGGGCATTAGGGGATCATGGGGCCCCTGTGTCCTTGCCCAAACTCAAAAAAGCCTATGAAAAAGGTGCCAAGGGCATCTCATGGGGCCCCCTACTGACCCCGGGCCCTTGGGCAGTGCCCGAGTTTCCAAATGGTCAGTCCGCCCCTGGCTGAACCTGTTGTTTTACCCTACAATAGACAGTTTGCAGATGGACATTTAAGGCAGATAATATGCAACTGTTACTCTTATATGTTATGGACACAAAAAGAATGAAATCTCTTCTCTGCAGAATATGCTGCTCCAAGACCCCACTCCCCCCACAGTCAGCCATGCAACCAAAAGTTTGTATCTTGGGTGATGACACCTCTAAGAGGAAGAATAGGCCAGTCTGACCTCATTTAGTTTTCTCAGACCACATGACCAATTAGCTAAACTTTTGGTCACATGACCAGCCCGTGAGCAGCATCTTTTTTTTCGAACATTTCAGAATTTTTACCGTTTGTATCTTGGCTTCGTCTCAGCAAGATTGCTCATATTACCATACAGTTTCTCTTTAGGATTAAAGGGTTAGTTCACGGTTTCGGAAAAAATGATAAGGTGAACTAACTTACTACACTCTAACCACCCTGCCCCCGGTCCCCACTGTACTTGGCTCCGTAGGTGATGAAATGTTAGTACCCACTCAGCTGGTGTAGCAGTCCAGGGATTTGAAATCCCAGCTTCTCCTCTTTTTCTGTAAGGCTTCTGGGATGTATCAAAGCGATTCTGATTGGTTGGTGCTGCCATGTGACCACTTAAACCAATCGGAATCAATCTGGTTTTGCTCCGGAAGACCTATAGGAAAAAGGGGAAGAAGAGTGGGGATTTCAAATCCCCAGACTGCTTTACTGGTTGTGTGGGCACTGACAGCTCTTCACTCAGAGGCAAGTACAGCGGTAATGGGTGGGGGAGGGTGTAGTGTGTTCACCTTTTTAAATTTTATTTGAAACAGTGCATTTATCATAGATAACTGACAAATTGTCATGTTGTGTAATTATGTGCAGTTTTGCATCTCTTTACAAACACAAGCATATAATTATTTTTTTAAATAAAAATTAAACAAAGGACATCCTTGTAAATAACTAGGTAAGGACTGACCAATGTGAATCAGAATACACCTTTTAATTGTCAAATTTCTGTCAAATTCAGGATGTCACTCCTTACATGAACCCAAGCCCCTTCACGGTGTCACCCAACACACACGTCTCGCAAGTCTTTAACCTCTTCAGAACCATGGGGATCAGACATCTCCCTGTGGTCAATGCAGTAGGAGAGGTAAGTACAGCAATGTGATTTTACTAGTTTGTAGCATATTGTCGCTGTATTTTACTGACAGTAGGTGGCAGCAAACGCCTGCCTTCTAAGCAATTCAGAGAAAGCCTGCTGGGGTTATATATTAATAGAATTTTAATGCTCTGTGTTTTGTAGATTGTTGGCATAATTACACGACACAACTTAACGCATGAATTCCTACAAGCCCGCCTCAGGCAGCACTATATGACCTCCTGATCCAGCCATCCCTTTAACCTTTGAACTCATCAAGGAGCTTAACCTTGGCAGTCGCCCCGAAACGGACGATCAAGCTTTCTAAAGTCTCGTAATGGGGTTCTACCCTGCTGAAGATGGATTCCTGTTAATGTCTCCAACGCTAGCTCCCCGCCGAGCTCTCCTTTTTCATTCCTCTGGTTACCTCCTGAGCTAAGGCCATGCATTTTACTGATATCTGCCGCTATTTGTCCTACAAAGAGGCCGCATGAAAACAAAAGAGGGACAAGTCAGACTGTGTAACGTTTGCTTTGTGTTGTATGCACGTCCTAGTCCTACTAGTTTCTTGTCCGTCCGGAAGAGCCGCTGGTAGGCCGAGTCTTTGAAGCCAGTACAGACTGACATTTTTTTTTAGTATATTCAGTTACAGCGAAGCTGCTGCCCTCCGTGGGAAGCCATCCTGTGTTACATAAAAGAGCTCTTCCTCTGAACTTCAATCCATTTGCCCAGAATCTCTGATGTTAAAGCTGAACTCCCGACAGAAATTTTAAATCCGTATTCTAAATGTCAGTTTTTAGCTTTTGACAAATGGTATCAGCCTCAGACCAGTCTGTATTTGAATTCAGCATTTTAGGGCTCAGTGTCCCTAATATCCTGACTAATGGTTGCTGTGTCTGCTTCTTTCAACAGCTGGCTGTATCATTCCCATAGTAGTTCATTCCTAATGTATCATTCCGGGTCCGTCCCATAGTAGTTCATTCCTAACAGTGGCTGCTATCATTACATCGCTGCTCACTCTAACATGTGGACCTGGGCGTCTTAGATTCCGGGTCCGTCCGTATACCACTCCACTGCCTGACTTGATTGACAGGCACAGTTCTGACTATCCTCATTCCCATTGAATATACTAATTCCCATAGTAGTTCATTCCTAACAGTGGCTGCATCATTACATCGCTGCTCACTCTAACATGTGGACCTGGGCGTCTTAGATTCCCGGTCCGTCCGTATACCCCTCCACTGCCTGATTTGATTGACAGACACAGCTCTGACTATCCACATTCCCATTGAATATACTAATTCCCATTGTAGTTTGATACAATTTAGGGCTTGTTTAAACTCTGAGGAGTGAATCATTTTTCAAAGGGCATTTGCCAGGCAATGAGGAAGTTTTATGTTTCCTTCTCCCCACTTATTTTAATCTCAAAAAGCCCATGCCGCGTCCGCATTTTTGCACATACCCCCTACGACTGCTTTTGCAGCTTGGGGGGGGGGGGGGGGGGGGAGTAGCGCTTCTCAACCACCTGTGTGTACCACAAGTGTAAACTAGGCTTTGAGGATATGATGATGACACTTCATCGATCCTTCCTCCTGATGCTCAGGCTGCCTCTTCCCTTCTAGAGCATTGATTTTGCAGACAATAAAATTGTAATTTTTTATAAAAACTGCAAAAAAAAAAAACCCCAAAAACTAAAATGCTTGTTTTAATGTGTGGAAAGAAAGGATACAATGGTGAAATTTTATAAACTATCCTGGAGTTCAGGTTTAACGCCAGATGGCATCTGCCTGATGTCATGCCTTGTAGCAAATGGAATTGTTTTTTTTGTGGATTTCTGCTCATTCTACAAAATGGCTTCCATCAGGAGTCGTCATATTTGTTTTTTTTTTGTTTGTTTTTAGAATTGTCTCTGTCGTTTGTTATTTGGGTGTATAATTGAAGGTGAGACACAGAGTGAACAAGCATTCCATCTACTAATGTGAAAATGCTGCTTTTATGTGAAGCTTGTGTACGTTAATGTTGAATGAAGTCCATCCCCAAAGAAAGGGCATTTGGACTTCCAGATGTTTAGTTATTGGAAGATGCAGCTTTGAGCCCAGCTCCTGCAAAAACGTTTGGCTTTTAGTTTTGGATATAGTTTGGAGGGGTGCGATCATTCGTCCTGCTTTTTTTTTTTTTTTTTTGCTGTTTGTGATTCTGTTTGGGAGTTTCCCTTTCTGGTCTTGTGATACCTGTACAAAATGTGAGGTGGTATTGGGATCACCAAAACAGTAAGACACAGACATAATAATATCACTGAGGTTCTGGCCTTTCCCCAGAGGGGTTGGTTTACTAAAGGCAAATAGGCTGTTTCCTATGCAATGGCATTTTTTCCAGAGCTTAGTGAATGCAAAGAAGCTCTACTCTCCTTCTTCATACAGTTGTGTGTAAACAAAAGTACTCTTCTTACTCTTTTTATCCTTGCACGTCATTGAGTATTCTTTGCAAAGTGAATTTTCATCTTCAAAAAAGTTTCCTTGTAAAGCGAGCAGCTTTTTTTGCCCTTAGTAAACCAACCAAAAGTGTCTAATCCAGCCTCTCCCAGCTGGGGTGCTGCTACGCCCTGGGGTGCCACCTGAGGTCTACAGGGGTGCCACCTGAGGTCTACAGGGGTGCCGTGGCATCCAGGTTGAAAAAGGCTGTCAGATCCGACTGAACTCCCGCTCTGCCAGACATCAGCACAGCAGGGGCTCGGTCAGCACAGTGCAGTGAAGAGCAGTGGCAGGGGTAGGCGGCTTTCCTGTGCGCTCTGCCTCCCCCTACAGGACAATACCCTGCTAGCACCACTCTCACCTGTGTGGATTGTAATGGAAGAATGGTCTTGCACTGAGGCTCTAGTGAGAGGAAAGCAGGGTGCAGAGGGGATCAAAGGGGAGGGTGGGGGTTGGCTTGCAGAGGGTGGGGCACATAGGTGTAAAAACAGGAGGTTTTGGGGTACAGAGGTGAGCAGAGAGGGGGTTTTGAGGTATGGAGGTGAGTAGAGAAAGGGGTTCTGGGCTATGAATGTGAGCAGAGAGGGGGTTTGGGGGTACCGAGGTGAGCAGAGAGGGGGGTGCAGTGTGGAGGTGAGCAGAAGTGTTCTAGGTGCAGAGATTAGCAGGAGGGTTAGAGTCTAAAGGTAAGCAGAGCGATATTGGGGTGCAGACGTTAGCAGAGAGGGGAATGTGCAATGTGACTTTGCAGCCTGTTCATTTGAATGGGCTGTAAATTGCACTGTAACACAGAAAATGCACTACTTGTGCACTGCTTTTTAAAAAAAAATGCTCCACACGAAACTGTATGTTATTGCGATACCAAGCAATTTTTGTGCCTTCAAACACACTGCATTTGTGATCTGCATTTGGGGTGTCGTTAACAATGCATTGGCACCTGCATGCAAATCTCAAGGGCAGTGCAATTACCTGCAGTGAGGGAAAGCCACACATAGTGCACCTTTCCCGCACCGCGGTGTCCTGGTGTGCACTGGCCCTAGTCCCCGACACTTTTTTTTTTTTCTTTTTCTTAGATCATGCCACACCGAAAGCTCACTGGGTTTGCTAATGCATAGGGGTACCATTAAGAATTAATGACACCTGTGCATCTGCTAAAGAGCAGTGTGTTTGTGTCATGAAAGCACGCAATTTTGCGCACATTCCCCAACATGCAGTAATGTGAACCAAGACTTAACTGGGGTGTCTTGAGAATGATTGGGAAAAAAAGTTGAGAAACACTGGTCTAACCTAATCTATATTAAAGGTTGGGGTCTAGGTTAGAGCTGGGCTTTAGCCATGTTGAGGAATTTTACTGAATGTTCATTGGGTTGGGGGAGGAGCACAATAGCCTACAGGGTATTAGCCCTGCTCCTAGGAGGGTGGACACTGAGCAGAAGGGCATGCTCCTCTGCCAGTGACTTATATCCTTCACAGGAACTGAGGAATCGGTTTTAGCTTGGTGTCCAACTTTGCAAGCCTGGGGAAGGGCCTTCTTTGTCCCAGTATGACTGTGCCCCTGTGTAAAAAGCCAGCTCTATTAAGACATGGGTTGACCAGTTTGATGTGGAGGAAGTTGGTGTCCTCCACAGAGCCCCGACCTCGAACCTACTGAACACCTTTGGGATGAATTGGAACTCTATTGGTGATCCAGGTCTTCTCGTCCAATGCCAGTACCTGACCTCACAAATGTGCAGAAATTCCCACAGACGCTCCAAGATGTTGCAGAAAGCCTTCCTGGAAGATTAGAGGCTTGTAAAGCCACTAAGGGGGCCAAACTCCATATTAATGGACCAATATTTAGAAGAGGATGGCGCAACAAGGTGTTCAAACCTTTGACCATATACTATGATTCCAAGCCAACGACCATTGTTTTAAATCTATGAGTATGTTTGAAGGGTGCATAGTGCAACCAATGTGATCTTTTAAAGTTGGTAGCTCTCCATACAGTACATCTATTGGGGGTGGACCTTCTCATAGGAATATCCCACATCCTCCTCACCCCTCTAATTGCCATTTCTTTCAGCTCCTGGTTTATTCCTCAGGGTTCCTGGCCATTCTATCGAGCTTGATGCTGAACAAGGTTAGCAGTGATGTCTTCAAGGCTGTTGTATGTTTCTTCAAAAGTTTAGCAAAGACGCTAAATATCAATTACATGAGTTAGACTGGAACCAGATTCTGTATGTGAATGTCCAAGTGCCCTGTACATACTATGATGTGTTTTCTATTAATTTAGATTGATACTGCAAGCTACAGTATAGTTACTGGACCATAGTTACTAGACCATAGAACGTCGCAGTCCGCAGAGTTTAAGGTGACGTCATATTTTTCTCAAGGCTACAGGAACTAAGCCTGGGCTAGACCAAAATGCCATCATCTGTTGCAGAAAAGAGTGCCAGATGTTCTCCATATTTTTTTTTTTTTGTTTTATATCTATACGCCTTTTTTTGGTCGGATCTGACTTGAAATGGAATGCCAGTTTGAGAAGCCTCTGTTGGATGCAGCAAATCCCTGCTCATACTGAAATGACTTCAGTGGAGAACCACTGTCACAGAACAATAGTTGGAAATCAGCTGCTTGAATTGGTGGTGGTGGGGGGGTCTTTTGCATAGCTATTTTGCATCATCCCTTAAGGTTCCTTTAAACAAGGGTCTGGCAAAAAGTCTGTTTCCCATGGAAAAGTCAACTGTAAGTGCCCCTGTCACTTAAGGCCAGTGTAGGCAGCTTCTTTGAGGGCTT